ATTCGAAGACCTTTGGCTATCTTAGAAAAGTTAAAAATTTCTCTTTTGATATTTTGTAAGACTCGTATGAAGATTTAAATTTTCTTTGGAATGTAATGTAATGGAACAAGCTTTTGAAATTAATATTATTATGGTTGTTATGTATTGGTATTCTGTAGAAGTAGACGTATACACCTTAACAGTGACTCTCCCTTGGCTACAATCAATAGTGTAGTATCGGGGCGTTACAGGATAGTTATGATTGTTGTAGAAATTACATGAGGATTAGGTGAATTAAAGCTAATCTCTTATTCATTGTCATTGAATATGGCTATGTCTTTAATACATTGTAAATGTATGATATTTGGGAGAAGAAAGGAGATGTACTCCATGTTTGGGAGAAGCAACGGGATGGACTCTATTGAATTAAGTTGGCTTGTCTGTCTAGGGTGAAAGTCTCGAAAACTGTGCGTATAATTATGTGATACAATGTGTAGATCATACATGGTGGACTACAATCTGGCCCTAAAATGTTACACGTCTTTGTAGTATATATGATATAATGCAATGAACTATTGGTTTTATTTGACTAGATTATATGTATTTACGCAATCTTTGAACTAATGATTTTTTTTTTTTCTAGTGTGGTATCCGCGGACCCCTTATCAATCATTATGGAGAAGTCATTGGAGTCAATTTTTATGATTCGCTATGTACACCTTTTCTCCCAATCAACATAGTTTCTAATTGCTTGGAGCACTTTAAGAAATATGGGTATGTTTCAAATCTTTCTATGTCATTTCAAAATGCAGTGACTTTTTTTTTTTATAACTAGTTGGAAGCCACATGCATTCACATGGGGTTTGTTGGGTAGTTTAACATGCATGCACTTGAATGCTAAACAAGAAAGATTATCTCTTATGCACAAAAAGGTCTAATCATCTAGAACATCTAGATTTGTAGTTGAGGGAATTGTGCATGCTCAGGGAGGGTGAATAGGTAATATATATTATTTTTTTGATTAATCCCCTTTTAATTTCCGTCTTTTATAGGTATCCCAAATAGTGTCTTTATAGATATCAATTCTTATATTTTATTTAAATTGATATTCAAAGCTTGTGCTAGTTTATGAATTAGTGAATTCTTTTTGTCTCTAACTTTATTGAACGATTACGTGAGCCAATGATAAATTTTCCAATGCTAATTTCAATTTGAAGGATGTAATAAGATAATGGAATATTCAATTTACTGCAAATTGACAAATTACTCAAATAGCTCATTTATACAAATATGGATACCAAAGCATGAATGTAAATAAAAGCACAATGGACACACAGATTTTTATAGTGGTTTAGCTTGCAAGCTTATGCTCACTTTTGGAAACTCGCTGGAGTTCTTAATCCACTTAGTGAGTGAGTGGGTGGGTGTTCGGGGTTTGCTTTTTTGTTGGCTTTTTTTCTTCTTTAGTAAACTTATTATAAAAAATAAAAAAAAAATGAAAAGGCTTTTTGGTTCTACTTGACTAGAAGTACTGGAAAAGTAAAAAAAAAAATTAAAAAATTGAAAAAAGTTTAGAAAGGACAAAAAAAAATCCAAAATCACGAGTTGACATTTTTTGCCCACGTGGTAATATGATTGTCACCAACATGTTTGTCTACGTGTCATTGTGCTTGTCCACATGGCATGGTGCTTGTCACTAAATTATATACACGTGGTGACTTTCTTGTCACCAAAATTCTATTTACATGAGCAGGTGCTCAATGCTTGTTAACAAATTAATGATCGTCATATCGCTGATCAAAAAGGAAAAAGAAAAACAAATGTCTTGTATGCTCTCTCTCTCTCTCTCAAGTTACTTTGATTTTCAAATAATGTTTGTAAGATCTTGATGAAAGGAAACCGTTGTTTTACCACCATGTGTGGTGTATTACTTGATTGACACTACATTGTATGTTTTGGAACTTGAGATTTGTGTGGCTGGTTCAATATTAGATGGTGGATTTTGCAGAAGCTTGGGATCTATAAGAGAAGTAGGGAATCACTGGAAGTTTGTGGTGGGTACTTTCTATTTGGTGCTTTGTGATCTGGGGAATTGGAGGTTTCCCCTCGAAGGGTATTAGGCCCCCATCAAGCGTCAGTGCTTATTGAAGTTACAAATATAAGAGGAGTAGGAATCATTGGAAATTGTTGGCAGGTTGTGATAGGAATTTTTTAGTAGGATTCTAGTGGTATGGAGAGTGGGCCCATCTTGTTCCACGTCAACATTTGGTAATATAAAAATAAATCTTTTGATGGAAAGGAGTAGTCGATCAGAAATGATACTTATACGGGCCTTGGCCAACTAGGCGTAGTTCATGCATCCTTTTGTTACATTGGTGTTTATTTTGATTTTATTTGGATATTTTAGCTGGTAAGATTCGATTGAATTGCTATTTCAATTTGGTACTGCTTAATTGTTCTTTTGTGAGAAAATCAATATACTATATATTTCCGATTACTTAAGCCCATTGATTTTTACTTTTCTTGAAGTACATTGGGTGGCTGATGCCAAAGTGCTTTACTGGCTTGGTGAGTTACTAAGAAGCATGGACACGACACAGACATGTGGACATATAAATTTTCAAAAAATGCAAGACATGACATGTTGTGAAGACATGAAAAAAATATAATTTCATATATTTATTATATGTCATTTTTTAAAATATTTAATATGCATTTTATGTCAAATATTTAATTTTATCAAATTTATCAACTTGAGGTATGTTATTTTATGAAAAAAATTAAAAATTTTAATTTTTTTAAAAAAAATAGTCCTCAGTATGTCCTTAACGTGTCCTCAGTGTGTCTGCAGCGTGTTCGTAGCGTGTCCCTACGTGTCTGTAGTGTGTCCGTAGTGTATCCAAGTGTCCCAGCGTGTCCTACTCTTTCCAATGTGTCCAACACTTGTCCAGAGCTTGTTCGGCCCGTGTCCTTGTCCGACACGTGTCAGACACTTGTACGTGACCTCCAAAGAGGTGTCTGTGCTTCATGGGTGAGTTGTGCTCTCTTATTTGATGTAGAACATGATTGGTATAGATTAATGTCAAGATAATCAAGGATAAAGAGATTTAATGGGTTCCTTTCATCATTCTTGTAACTCCTGGTTCCTGTGAAGCACAGATACCTCTCCAAAGGCAACGTATGGGTGTCTGACCTGTGTTGGATACGGACACGCGGTTGGCATGTGTTGGACATTCTACCTAATGTGTCTCTCCCTCCCCCCTCCCCTTCTTTTGTTTTTTGCAGCTGGACCCGGACACTCTTCAGACACTCTTGGACACATTATGGACATGTCAGAGACAGAAACCCTACCCCGTTGGAGATAGAGAGAGAAACCCTAACCATTGAAGACAAAGAAAGAGAAAGAGAAAGAGAAAGAGAAAAGGGAAATGGTGAAGAACCTGTTGAAGCCCTAGATTGAGGCTAAATTGAGGTGTGTTCTTCCAATCTGTGTGTTCGACTCCCTCTCTTCCTCTTTTCGGTGCTCTCTGTTCGTCTTCGTCTAACTTGTTCATCTTCTTTGAACCTTTGTCTCTGTTCATCGCTCTCTCTTTTGTTATGTTCATCTCTCCCTCTTTCTTTGTTCTGTTCTCCTTCACTTCTCTTGCTTCTTTGTTCGACTCTCTCTTTCTCTTCTCTTCTTTGTGTTTGATTTTCTGTCTCGCTCATATCCACTCAAATAAAGACCGTCTCTCTCCCTTCTTTATTGTTTTTACCTATTTTATTTTTGGTAACAAAAAAAATCTTTTTTTCCCCTTTTTTACTTTTTTTTATATATTTTTTTAATATTGTTATCTATTAAACATTAATTATTTCTATTTGCAAAAAAAAAAAAATATTTATGAATGATATTTGATATTAAAATAAATAAATAATATATATAAAAATAATATATATTTTTAATTTTGCATATAATAAATAAAAAAAATTATATATCTATAGCCTATCCCCAACGTGTCGTGTCCCTCATTTTCTAAAATTTTTGGTGTCATGTGTCCATGTCCGTGTTCGTGTTGTGTCATGTGTCCGTGTCCATGTCCATGTCCATGTCCGTGCTTCATAACCTGGTTCCCATTTAGATTCGTTTGATTTGAAAATTTGGTATGTGTGGGCACATCTAGATTTCTTATTTGGTAACCCTGTCCAGATCTTTCTTTCTGGATTGCCTTCTTCAGTTCTCCTTTTTTGGATTGCTCCCTCATATTGTCCTTTTCTGGTCACCTTACCTTGGCTTTGTCAAGATCTCCCCAATCGAGTGATCACTATAAGCCGGTCTCTAATTGTTTAATGATCCCCTCGATTTCCCCAAGGAGATCGCTTGGTGCACCTTCCATCATCCAGCCTGAGACTTACACTACAAGTTACCAGGCTGGGAGCAGGGCAAAGAATCTCAGCACATATTGGAGGATAGTGGCTTGGAGGCTAGAGTCAATGGATTGTCAGGATTGCATTGTGGTGCCCCTCCGTTGACCAGCCTTAGAGAGAGAGAGAGAGACATTGACCGAGACATCTGATATGTCTGACAGATTGAGGTAAGGAACCTCCATTGTTTTTGCGTAAAAGGTGTATGGGAGATAGGAGATACCAAAACAAAGATCTCAGGATAGGAGATTTCTAGTAGTCACACCAACGGGATTAGGCCGCCTGCCCCCCTTAAGCTGCTCTTAACAGCCCAACTTCCCTATAAAAAGGAATGCTCCCCATGGATGATTAACAACTGCTCATCCCTTTCTCCAACAAAAGCTGAAGGTCACTTTTCAAACTCTTAAATCGTAATTTTTTTTGAATAATTAGTTTTATTTACTGCAGAAATCCTAAGGTTACTTTGTTCGTGAATTAGTGTTTTGGAAAGTAAAGTATGCATAATAAATGTGACAAAGCAGGATATGATTACAAAGAATTAAGCCTACAAAGGCATGGTCATTGATTTGAAGTCTTCGTTACATTTTTACACCCGTTCTCAACATACCATTAAACACTTGCTTGAAGAAAATCGTGTAGGCAGTTGCTAGTAAGTTTGCTTGATAAATTATTTTCTCCCCATGGTGCACTCTTTTATATGGGAGGTGTTGCTTGGTCTACCATTCCTCATATTCTGTAGTAGGTCTCATTTTTACTACGTGGATGCCCCTTGTAATTATAAATATACTCATATTTCGATTTACATTTATGTTGTGTGCGCTTTACTTTCAAAGACTTTCATGTGTGCATTTTAAAATTTATTATTATTTTTTGTTATTGCTAACTTTTTAAACTCGTGGCCTCCCTTTTGTCACATTCTGTCTCAGTGTAGGTGAGCCAGGGTAACCGTGTCTTTGACATGCTCTGTACTTTGCATAGTATATGTGTTACTAGGTGTTCTATAGCCTGGAAGTTTGTTAGATCTTTGTGAATTAGTAACTTAAAAAAATTAATAGAAATCATTTTAAAGCTGTCTTAGAGGGTCTGATGGTTTGTATCATGGCATAGGAATTTCTGTCGACCTTGGCTTGGAATGGAAATGACTAATCTTTATGCGGCAAGTGTAGACAAGTTGGAAAGAATTATCCAAAAGTTCCCCAATATTGTCAAAGGTGTTCTTGTTGAACAGGTATGTTCTCTGCCACACCTTGTTTTAGATAGATCTCAATTCGTTGGGGCAATATCTTCTTTCTAGATGTTGAATGACTTTATGAAAACTACAATAATTTTGACTGCATATCAAGAATATTGAGGTTATTGGTGTCAGGATAACTGCAAAATATATTATTCTGGACCATATGCTGCTTACATCTCTTGTTTCATCAGTGTACTTATGGACTAGAATGCTAAATTAAGTATAAAAGGTATACCAAAGAGTCATTGGGTGTGTTTAGTTTGCTTTTGAGAGAGTGATTTTCAAAAAAAAAAAAACTTAGGGAGAGAGTTTAGAAAAAATTTTGGTTTGTTTGGCTATATATTTTGAAAGTAGTTTTGAAGTTTGGGAGTTTGGGATAATTTGATATTTTATTGTAATTGAGTAGATGTGTGTGAGAGAAAAAGTGATTGAGAAGGAAAGAGGAAAGTAAAGAGTTTGGCGATGTGGTCACGTTTGACACGACATACTTGGTAAATAAGTATGATATGCCCTTTGCCCCATTTATTGGGGTCAACCATCATGGACAGTCGACATTGTTAGGTTGTGGACTCATTTCACATGAAAATACAGAAACATTTACATGGTTGTTTAAGTCTTGGCTTGCATGCATGTCTGGATGTCCTCCAAATGCTATTATTACAGATCAAGATAAAGCCATGAAAAATGCTATACAAATTGTTTTCCCTAATGTGCGTCACCGATGGTGTTTGTGGCATATCTTGAAAAAATTACCTTTTTTATTTTTTATTTTTTATTTTTTATTTTAATTAAAAAAATCCTGCAAGATTTATTGAACAAACAAGTAAATTATATGATTGCAAGATTAACAGAAGAAATGAGTACATGTTATGGTCACACCTAGATTTCCTACACATATGAGGCCAAGCTACACTTAAGAAGCCACACAATTAGCTTTTAAAGGACAAACATCAATGGAGACTACCATCTCTCCGTTTCAAAATTTTAGAGAGATATATGAATGAAGATAAATTTTGGTTGATCATGAAGATCAATCCTAACTTTTGCATTGGATTTAATTTAAGGTAGCACAAGCACATCATTTGCCTATGTGCTACTTGTAACAATAGAAATCACCAAATCATGAACTATGAACTAACATCGACCTCAATTTTGGAAGAGTCGCAAACAACTGAAACAAAACCATCACAGATTCCCCTGTTTTAGACATTTTGTTTAAAAAGTTCCCAATCCCTACTAGTAGTAACAAAACATTAAATGAAAAATAGAAAAAAAAAATTTATTCTTTCCACAATTTCTTGCTGCAAGTTGCAATTACAAGCCTCTACAATTGTTGCAAGAGCCTTTTCTCTAAGTTTGTCACATATACTTCAAAAACCTCCAGTTACTCCTAGAAGATAAGCATAGAAAAATATGCAACTTGGTGTTAAAATTTCTAGAAATCATTGCCAAGAGTTCAGAAGAAACTGATCAGTTTCACCCTACGTGATGTGCTTGTTTAGTGGAAAGCTGTTCATGCATAAGCAATCTGTTACGAAATTAAAATCTAGGCCACGTCCATTTTTCTTCCTGAATTGAGTGATTTAACCATAAATCCATCTGTTTGACTATGTAAGCCCCTAATATTTCTTTTTTCCCCAAAATGAGTGAGCCCTAGAAAGTAGGGGTGTTCACGAGTCGAGTCAGCTTTGACTCAAACCCGCTACTCGACCGAAACTGTTCGGTTTGGAAACATAATTGTTTCCGACCGCATGTTAATTCAAAACCGTCCGTCCATCTTCTTTGGTTTGGTGGTTGGATTCGGACGGTTTTCGAAATTACAAAGCCAAATATCAAAAAATTCAAAAAAGCAATTGTAGATTCACGAGGTTCAACAGATTCAATGACCAAAAGAAGAACAAAAAACACTTCCATATAAATACGATTTCTGGTATACCAAAAACAATTAACTAAACTTAAAAAAAAATAAAACGAAAACTAAACTTAAGGATCAATCGAAAAATAAAAAGAAACCTAGATCAATCGGCGTCACTACCGCATCCAACCATCTGCATTTTTACCATCATCGTTCTTGAAGCTTCAAGATCAATCAGTTGATGTGTATTCCCAACATTGTCGCCATCAACTTTAAAAATTCATAAATCCGGCATTGATGAAGCTTGAAGGTTGTTGACTGTGAAAAGAAATGGGGCTTTCCCTTTGGATGTTCATATCATGAGACAGTAAGGTTTTTGGACTAGAGTTTAGGGTTACAATTGAATCTCTGATAGAATAGTGAGAGAGAAGAAGAGAGCGAATGAGGGAAAGGGATACATGGGAGAAAGAGAAAGTGGTTGACAGTAGGTGAGAGAGGAGAAGAATGAGGGAACAATAAAGAGAGATACATGGAAAAAAGAGAAATCTGTTGACAGGAAGAGAGAGAATAAGAGAATGATAGATACAATGATTGGAAAAAAGATAAAGTGGTTGAGCATTTTGAGACTGATTTTTACATAAAAGAGAAACGTGTTTGAGAGTTTTCCAGATATCATAGCACGTGTGCTGCGCAGATAATGTGCAATCCCGAAGACCAGTAAAAACTTGATAAGAGGAAAGTTAACGTTTTTACAATATATATTCAGTTGGTTCGGTTTCAACGGGTCCCAAATATCTAAACCCGTTAATCGAACCAATACTCGAAAAATTACATTTTAACAAACTGCAGCTGACCGCATGGTGTTTCGAAACCGTCCGTATGCTCATCGGGTCGGACGGTCTGTTTGGGTGGGTCGGGTTTCACGGTTCAGTGAACACCCTTACTAGAAAGAAAAACAACTCATAGTGCACCATCATACAGTAAGGCTGTGTTTGGATCTTTGATTTGAGTAAGATTTATATTGGGAAAAATAGGAAAGAGAAATGTGAATAAAAAGATGGATTTTACCTTTCAAACACATCCTAAGTGGATTTTCTCATCCTAAGATGGATTTGACCTTTCAAACACAGCTACATAAGGTTCATCAAACTAGAGGACAAGAAGAATGGCCCGTGTCTTGAAAAATATAACTCTAATAGTTTGAACTAGGGTTCTTGCCTTCACTTCTACTGTGATGTTAGAAGAATGCTCAATTTAGGAACTATTTTAAATAGTCTAAGCGAATTGAATCTCAATATGGTTTTACTCTTCCAATCGCCTAAAGCGAATTGGAGTTGATTGCAAGTTTCTGAGCAATATTACAAGTTGCAACATTACAAGCTAGAATAAGAATATAAAACATGAAACTATAATATGAAGAAGAATGGGGAAAAAGCAGCAGTGCATAAGATTTACATTATTTGTTTCCATTTGTTTGAAGAAACACTAATTGAAAGGAACAATATCTAGATTTACTCACACATGCACTTGCTTGTAGCAATGGATACCAATTTTGAAAATGTTCCCCAAGGATAAAAGAAAGTTTTAATAGCTATGCAGTTAAATAATACATAGAATAGAATTAATATCATTTAGGATTTATAATATTGCATAAAATCAATAGCTCCGTTTGGTAGAGTTGTGGGAAAGTGATTATAACTTATAGCCTAATAGCTTGTAGCTTGTAGCTTGTAGCTATGAACATAAGCTGATTTTTGACTTATAAATTAAGCTTCTCCTTTCCCACTCAAAGAATAAGTTGATTTTTGACTTACAAAAAACTATAAGCTATATTGTTAAGCTGAACCAAACATATCAAAATAGCTTAAATTAAGTTAAAAGCTGAAATAAGTTGGAAATAAGCCCTACCAAACAGGGCCAATATCATTCAAAGTAGCTTACAATCATCAATACAGATCTGAAGGAGTAAAAGCTAGTATCAAATTAGCTTCAAAAGAGAGACTTAGAGAAAGGGCTTCAGAAGTGAAACTATAAATTGATCACCCAGTACGAAACAAAATCAAACAGATATGAATTCGAGCATATTCGATTTCATACGAACAGATCTGAGTTCAAAGAAAACATAGGCATCTATATAGGTGCGAAATGGAAGGAAAACGTACAGATCTGAATTTCAGCTTGGTGACAGAGAGAAAGCGAAGGCAGATCGGAGTGAAAGAGCAAGATGGGAGAGAAGAGCCGATGAAAGCCTTCAAACTATTCCATTCATTGAGCCTTCAAACGCAGAGAGAGGGAGAGAGGGAGACAGATGTTTTGAATACATAGCTAATGGTGTCAACAATTGACTTGAACCAGTGTTGTTTAATGCAACTCTAAGACAGCATTTTGATAGCATTGTTGTGATTGTTTGATTTGTATTAATAGCGTTGTTGTGATTGGTTGACCAATAATGGCGTTTTAGTAAACGCATTCTTATAAATGCCGTAGTTGTTACCTTTTCTTGTAGTGCATGCTTGGGGACTCTGTGTACACCATAAGAAGAGTCGGGCTTTAGGTGTTTATCGTATTCTGTGTTGAGGCCAAGATACCATTTGTTTGTCCCGCTGACCCTCCCTGTTGGATGTTTGGCCCTTGTTAGAGGTGGATCCGCATAGGATTTAGTGACAACACTAAAAGTTTGAAAATATTAAAAGTTGCTAAACTGGTGGGGAAAACTAGTTAATGCTTTCTTATACATAGAGAGTATACACCAAAATGGTGTACACAGCCAGTATACGTAGCTAAATTGTAGACATAGGGAGTATTCAAGAGGCACCAAAATGCAAAGAACTAGTTAACTTCTTATATTTAAAGATCAATTCAAAAATTTGAAAAAAGCCCAAAGACTAGCTTTTGCATAAAACAAAAACTAAGAAAAGGACATTTTATAACTTCATCTTAATCTCTTTCAAAGATTGTATTATGCTGTCAAAAGCTTCGTGCACTGGCTACACCCTTTATTCTTAGAAAGGATAGAAACAAACTACATAACTCTCTAGGGAAATGTAAAGCAAGATGTTTGATAGGCTTTCCATCATCTTTACACTAACGTCAACTAATGGCAGTTATTACTTCCATTTTGCACATAAAATGTTATATTTTAGTTTGTTAATATAGAATTAGATGAATTTTACACAGATAAATATCTGAACCCACCCGATGCCTGTACTTGAGTCCTTGTAACAGAATCTAAACACTCCCCCTCAAGCTGAGAGCATAGATATAAATTATACCCAACTTGTTACACTACTCATTGAAATTCCCCTTCCTGCTACCTTGTAAATGCAGCACTCAATTGATCTTTTGACTTAAACATAAGATGTGGCAATTTGTTTCCTCATCACCATATATCTAACTAATTGATCCTTTCATGAAACATTTCATTGGTAGAGATAAAAATTGCCCCTTGGTTATTGCAAGATTTTTGCTAGTTTGTCAAAAATACAAACCCTATCTCTTGCAACAATGACTTCATCCACATCATTTAACATGCAGTATGAGCCATTGCTGTCACTGTCCAAGCCTTGGGAAATGTGCAATGAAGAAATAATTGAGAAAATGGTAAAACCAACTTAACCTTTTATCAAATAGGTGCTCAGCAACCACCCATTTGAGAATTTGCCTAAAAATGCAAATTCTTAATAGGCATGTAAAGTTTGGGGTAAAAAAATGGCACGAATGAGCGTTGTTGATACTCAAACCAATACAATAGGCGTAGCCAAAATATAATGATACGTGGCCTGGATCAATTCAACAAAAACATTCTAAACTTTAGACTCAAGGTCACAAGAGTCCATAACCACCTTTAATATTAAAAGTCCATACAGTCCAGAACATGTGGTCGAGGAGCTTCTGTGGTCTTGGGAAGGAGTTCGAGTTGATATAAGGAAAAAGGAATGCATGGGGAGCTGGTTCCTTTGGCAATATTGTGGCTGATTTGGAGCGAACAGAATAGAAGAATTTTGAGGGCAATGTGATGCCAGTTTTGAAAGTGCCATTTTTCCCCTTTCTATTTTGTATAATTGGTATTATGGATCAGTTGATCTGTTCTTGAACTAATTTTTGGATTTTGTTTGAGTTTTGGAGTAGCGGTTTTCTTTAATAAAAAAAGAGAATTAATTGCCAAGTGTGTGTGTACATGTGTTTGTATGTATATGGATGGATGTATGCGTGCATGTGATGTCTCTGTTAATCGAGATATTTCTACTAATTGCATATGGCACTGCACTAAAGCAAATTAGAGTTGATTGCAAGCTTCTGAGCAATGCTGAACATGCTGGAATATGCCAAGGTGATGTCATTGTTCAATGCAGCGAAAATTTTGTTCGGAGTATTTTGGAGGTATATCATACTTATCATTGTTGTTTGTTCAATGCAGTGAAAATTTTGTTTGGAGTATTTTGGGGGTATATCATACTTATCATTGTTGTTATTAGGGAGGCACTATTTGCATTCCTAAAATAGCTTATCAAGCTTCTTTGTAATACTTCAATATATAGAAGTGTCCCCAATTAAAAAAGAGGGGGAAAAGGATAATCTGTTAATCTGTTACTGTGTTTTGTTTTCCTTTTTCTCATGCTTTTATGGAGGTGTAGAATGGTGTTAGATGGGAGTTCATTGATTTTAAAATAGTATAATCTTCTCCTCGTTTGGAATATCAAAATTAGCATGACTATATCTTCATCATCATAATTGTTGTCATTATCATTACTATTAGCAACTAGCATACATATAATAATAATGAATAATGCTCTATGCAGCAATCAGTGTACTAACTAGTGTACTAACAGATGATATGACACAATTTTAGAGATTTTGGGTATTTGTAATTTGTATAATAAGTGAGGTCAATAATAATGTCATTACACTAGTTGATGCATGTAGCACCATCGAATAATAATTTGTGTCCTTGTGAAACATTCCTACTTTGGGATTCCGAATGCTTTGCTATGGTTCAAAATGTTAAGACATAATGACTAGAGAACAACTATTCTAACTACAGGTGAAAAATGGTAGCAGCAAGTTAAATATTGTATCCTACTTATTAACAATTAAAATTTTAAATTTAAATGTTTTGAGTTTAATAATATCTAGAATGCCCTCCTTTATGTTGAATTCTTGGTTTCGTCACTGATTGTGGGTCTTATTAGGGGAATAGGATTTCTAAAATAATAAATCATTATTGCGAGGATAATTGTATTTCGGACTTGAACCATCTACTTGCCACCGTTGATTGTGTTTTGGGTTTAAACCACCTCCTTAAACTACCATTGTGAGAATGATTATTGTAGAGAATTGTAATACCCTATTACGTGGCTGAATGGCGTTTACGGATGCCCAGATGGCCTAGTGACTCACTAACTACATTGCTTTTTCAATGTGGATCTCTTTTTTTTTTTTCCTCTCTAAATCATTTACCACTTGCAGTATCATATATGTCAGTTTAATCTTTCTCTTCTTGTTATTAGTTCTATGGAATAATATGGGACAAGGTTGGCAAATATGTGGAGGTGGTTGTGATAAGAGAAAGAAGTGACGCCCTTTTGAATCTAACCATGGTTGTTGATGAGACCAGCGCAGACAAATTTAACAGGTAAATATCTTGTATGCATTTTGGTTAATGTCTAGATATATTTGTACCAATCTTTATAATGGGTGTGAATTCATGTGGTTTTTGTGATATATTTTGTCAAAAAAATTGGTCTGTTCTTTTGATTGTATTTATTATATTTGGGATGAATTCCAGCGATTTGTCAGATAAGTGTGGATTATTTTTTCAATAGGCTATAATAAAAAATAAAAAATGAAAGTTCTGAGGTTTGATGTCTCTTCCGTGTGGTGGTTTTATTGCTTTACACTAGCAAATTTTGCTTCATTCTGATTGTGTTCCACATGCCTTGTCTTCTCAGGTGGCCGCTCCCCAAAAGATCTATGCAACCTGTTGGTAGAATTCGATTTCAATGATAGTTATGAACACAAATACTGGGAATTATTGAAAGTGATGTCTGCTTTGCGCCCGCTCAATTTTGTTATGCTGATCAGTTGTGGGCATTTTTTTGGGTACAATCATGCATATTTTTATAGTTTTCACCCTTTCTATTTATTTTATATATATTGGCTTCGTTTTCCAGTTAATTAACTACATATTTAATTACCTTAATCCTATGATGAGATCTAGGTATTTAGTGATTGGTTTCTGTGTATGCATAATTTTTTTGATTGTTGTCGGGTTCACTCAAGGAGGTTTTCAGTTTGCATCCGTGAATTCTTGCATGCCGCCAAAGCTCTGTGGCTAACAAATTCAACATCCTAGAAGTTAGAGTTGTTTGGGTGATCCTTTTTTTTTTTTCTCTTTTTTCGGGGATTTTGGAACAATAAAAAAGAAAAATCAACAAAAATAGAAATTCATAGTCAACAGAAAGCAAGTTTAATTAGTAGGATGAAATATTCGATAAGCTCTACATATTAAACGGTTTGAATTATCGGTACGACCTCTGTGGTGGGCTCATAGAGATTCAATACCACCTTCTAGTTGGAAATTTTAATTGGAGAGAATTGAAGTTTTTTTTTACTAATCTCTCCATAACTGTGCCACTATTTCTACCGCCACGATCACCTTGCCGTCACAACCACCAGCATTAGTGTACAAAACGAATAATTGACGTGGAGGATCCAAGCCTTCAGCTATGTCATATCGATGCTGGCATTTTGTTTTATGACCTGTTGGTAAGGCTAGACCAAATAGGGCATTTTTTACAAAATAATTTTTAGAAAAAAGAAAAAGAAAAGATGAAAATACATAACAGGAGACAAAGGTATCTTCAGGGAGGCTTTTGCTAACCAGCATTCAGGGGCTGGATCCCAATCTGGTGTATAATTATTAAATATATTTTTAAGAATTTATATTTTTAGGTGTTTGATATTAGATTCGACCGTTGTTTTGTTTTGGTAATAAGAACATGGTTAATAAAATTGTTTGATGAGAATGAAAATTTATTGTTTTAAAGAATTTTATTTTTTCATTTTTACTCCATTACCACTAGACCATTGTGGCCTGTTTGCCCAAAAAGTCGTCGAAAATTTCATGAGAAAAATTGACAAATAAGTGAGTACAAGATCTCGTTAGCCACTTCATTATGGTGATATGTATTTAATCGATATCCAGGACCGATTACTCTAGTCGAAAAATGTTACGAAATGTTCCTTTAAATGTATCATTATTATGTTCTGATATGAGACTTGTCATGACCCAAACCTGTCCTTATGGGTTTAGCATCGTAACCGGTCAGTAATCCTTGGATTACCAAAGGCCTCTTAACAAAATATCATATAGTTAGGGGCTACAGAAACAAATATACAAAATATACGTGGTCCAATGAGCTGTGATGACATATATGAGACAGATAGACAAATAAGTTAAAACTTTTGAAACTTGCGAGCGAAGTCAAAAGATATAGTATTTACACATCACTCAATGAACATATAAACAGAAATCTTGCCCGCACTTAAAAGGAGCAAAGTCTAGTACATCACAAAATCAACCACTAAACTTGTTTCCATCCGGAACCTCCTCGGGAGGCACAAAGGTTAGCTGACAAAAACTGAAACATAAGCCATCAACTTTGGGCATGGTCACGTGTCTGCTCACCTATATACATAATATAAATAGTGAGCTGGAGCCCAGTGAATAATAATAAAGTAAAGGGTTTTAATGAATGATGTCCATATAGATTTAGAAATCATAATTCAGATTCATAACAGATTCATATTCATATTCTTGTTCAGATCATATATAGAAATCAGAGTTCATGCTTAATCTTACGTGGTACATCCATTAGCGCTAACAGAACAGATATATAACAGATGCAGAACTTATGGTGGTTATGAATAACCAGTCTCATAAAGGAACCTCCGGATCCAAGTAACAGAGAATATACATGCTAAGCCCCATGATGGAGCCTCTGGTATGGGTAACAGATTGCAGACATATTAAGTTCCATGATGGAGTCTCCAATATTGGGTAACAGCTAACAGATATCACATGATGCTAAGGATGCCACGAATACATTGCCAGAAATTGGACAGTCATTCATTGTACAGAACATATCATTTCAGAAAACATATCTTAAATTTTCATACAGAAAGTAAATAAAATTGAACATACCTTTACTAAGTTATTACTCACAGTTGGCTTCGGGTACAGACAGACAGAGCAGGCTAATCAAACGGTCTACGGCACGTGACCTACATTAACACATAACAAATACATATCTGAAACACACGTTGGAATACATCTAACCCATTACGTTCTTGTTCTTAGTGTGTCGCTTCATTGATCCTCCTTATCATGCCTTAATCTTGGCCTAGGAATGCCTAGGATGGAATGAGGATGCAAAAATGTATTTGAAACACTTTTTCCAAAACTTGCTGAAAACAGGGTCTACGCTCAAGCGTGGCTTTCCTCGCTCGAGCGGACATGCAAAAAGTGAGGGTTCGCTCGAGCGTGACTTCCTTAGTTCGAGCGGACTGTAAAATCTGAAAAAGTACTAGTTGATTATTTTTCACGCTCGACGGACGCTCGATCTCCGTTCAAGCGTGAGACTCAGGCCCTCGCTCGAGCGTGACTTCTGTCGCTCGAGCGTGCTGCAAAACACATGAACTTCTGGATACATGCATTTCACGCTTGAGTTCTCATGTCGCTCGAGCGGAAGTGCACATATTCAGAGTGCTTCGCTTGAGCGTGAACTCCTGCGCTCGAGCGTAGATTCAAATTCTGGAATTTCCAGATTTGATCTCTAAGCTTCAAACTCAAACTAAACACTTCAAAACTCATCTTCTTGGGCCAAAATTCTGGAAAACACTTAGAAACTCACAAAACATCATGCTTTGAAGATCATTTCGTGAAATCAATGTCCAAAAGTATGCCAATTGTTCAAAAATTCAACTTAAACTTTAGGAATGTTTCATGAACATAACATGCATGAATTTTCTTAATCTTGAGCTTCTCAAAACATGATCAAATGCCATAAAACAACATAAAACTTGATAATTCCCCAAAATCAAGGTGAATTCAAGACATACATGAGAGAATTCTTGAAAATCATGCTCAATTTGTATAGGAATAGACATGCATGCATAGTATGGTCCTTCTACCATCTTATTTAACTCAAGTCTAGCTTAACTCAACATAATCTTCATGAATTCATGTTCTAAACACCATAATTATATAATCTAAGTGTTGAATTCATACCTCAACCTCTCAAGTAAGATCTAGGTGATGAGCACACTAAGGTTTCAAGCTAATTCTTTCCAATTCCAACAATTCTTGTTGATCTCAACTCTCTCTCATTCTTGGTCTCTCATTCTCTCACACGTTTTTGAGCTCAAAGAGTAGGAAATGAGGGTGTAAAGTAAAATAAGAGGGTCTAAATAGCCTTAGATAGGCTTAATTAAGATTGACTTAGGTTAATCACATTGACATTAATCATTCTAACTTAATCGTTCCAAATCAAATTTCAATTAAACTTACCATAAAATTCTATAAATTCCACATAACACATAAATCAAATCAATTTCAGAATCAGATGCCGATAAGGCCTTTAATTCGCAAAATATAGCAGAATCTTAAACAGATATTCCTACAATAAACAGATAGAAACACAAATAATACAACACATATGGAATGAATCCAAAATTTGATCTTAGTGACTTATTAGACACATGAAATCATGAATTAACGTTAATCATAGGTCGAGGTTGTTACAAGACTGATATGATAGATATGTATGATTGGTTTTCTGTATATGATATGATTTGGAATTCGTTCACTAATCTCTTTACTTTAATGTTATTCACTAGGTTTTAGCTTATGGTGTGTATGTATATGTATAGGTGAGCATCAGGAAGCACAAGCCCAGAAGAAACCCGTTAATCGAGCCACTGTGTAAAGTCTTTGAAGTTCTGTTTTAGTGCCTCCGAGTTGAGGTTAGGTCTAGAGGACCGTTGGCTAGTTTTGTGCTTTTGTTGTGGAAATTTTGATAACATGTATTTTTTGATACCTGTGTATATGTATATAAAGACGTTTTGTATAAGATATTATGTATGTGATACTGGATGGGTAAATTAGCGTTATGTGCATATGTCTATTCATATGTCGTTGATGTGACGACCCGGACATGTATTTGATTAAATAATTGGTTAATTGCATTTTTATGTATTAATTGCTTATGTGTTTGGTGTGAATTATGAGGATTTGAATTTATATTTGTTGATTTTAGGAAAACTTGTTGAAATTACAACTTTAAACTGGAAATTGAAGGCCTTAGAGACATTAGAAACCAAAATTAATTGCAAATTTGCGATCAACGTGATTTTTAGGGCCTAATATGAAGTTTTGTAAAAATCTGATTCAGAATAAATTTAATTAAATATTATATATACATATATCTATGAGCATAACTTTGACTCAACAAAAAGAAGAAAGAAAAATCTGGGAGGAGAGAAAAAGAGAGAGTTCTAGAGAAAGAAAGAAGCAAGGGGAAAGAAGAAGAACAAAGACACTCAAATCCCCAAAAATTATCTATCTAAGGTATGATTTTCCTCATAATTTCTTTGATTTGAGTCATCTACATGCATATCCTCTTGAATCTAAGCTTTATGAAGGAAATATCATGTGTAATTAAGGGTTTTGTAGGAAAGGTTTGAGTAAAAAGCTATATGAGCATCTATGGTGAAGAATTGGAAGATTTAAACTCAAAATCTTGATATGCATGCATATTCTCATGGAAATCATGTTTCATTACTTACCTCCTTGCATGCTTTTGTGATTTGAGAAAAGAAACTCCATGAATTTCAAAGATTGAAGGTCAAGCTTATGATTTTGTTGTTTAAGTACAAGGTTTCGAACTCTTTTCATGGAATTTGAGTTTCAATTTCAAGTTATGATTTTGTTTGAAGCTATAGATAGTAAATTCACTATGTTCTTAAAGGTTTTGGGTCTTGAAGTGCATGAAAATAAAATTAGAGTTGCACACTTTGAGCTTCAACATCATGATAGATTTTTGAACAGTTTTTGGCCCAGAACCGCATATGCGGTGGGAAACCCTGCATGTGCGATTTTCAAGGCAGGCTCAGAATTGTTTTCTTTCTGTTTTTTGAACTTCCGAGCCTCTATTTGCATGGTTTTCATATGTTTTTTACATGCATTCGCATATCATGAGCATGAACTAAATGAGAAAAAGAATGAACAAATAATGATGA